TCAGCAGATGAGTAAAGCTTTCCAGTTGTGTAAGACATGTACCTACTGTGTTGGGTTTACAACAGGCTTTTATTTATTTTTTGGGGACATACTAGGGGTAGAACCTAGGGCCTCTATCCCAGTTGCTCAGGCAGGATTTATTTTTGGCGGAACCAGGGATTGAACTCAGGCCCTTGCACTTGCCAGCTGGCAAACACTTATTCTACTGAGCCATCTCCCCAGCCCAGGATTCAAATTTTAATCCCATCTCCTAAAATGCTGGGTTTGAAGGATGCACCACTGCACCAGGTTCACAACAAATTTCTTGCACTCCTACAACTTATGTCCTTTGACAGCTCCCTAAATTCACTCCTTTTCTTCCAATCACCCCAGCTTCTGGTAGTCAGTTATATATTCTAACTTCTTAGATTCCAGGAGCGAGATCATGAGACAGATGCTCTCCAGGTTCATCTTCTGTTGTTGATAAGGGCAGGACCTCATTTTTTTCCCTCCTGAGATTGTCTCTGCATTGATGTGGCCTCAAATGGTTGTCCTGCATCAGCCTATCAAGTATCTGGGGACTTCTGTGCTCTCCACTGCACCCAGATAGTATTTCGTCTCTTTCAAAGGCTGACCAGGATTACACTGTGTATATATACATTTTAACTTTATCTGTTCAGTCACTGATGGACACAGACTGATTTCACATTTTGACTGTGAAAGATGCTGCAATGAATATGCGAGCGTAGTTAAGACCTTTAACCTACTGAAGCCAGGGCCAGTGACATACTTCAATGGCCTAAGTGCCTGCCTGGCAACTGCAAGGTCCTAACTTCAATCCCCAGTACTGCAAAACCAATCAACCAACCAACCACCCACAAAGGAAATAAAATGAAGCCACTTGTGTTGGATGCTGCAGTGTATGGTATACTTTTACTCTTTAATTTATGTACCCTCCACGCTGTTTCCTTTAATGGCTGTATTAACTTATACATTCCTGGCAATAATGTGCAAGGGTTCCCATTTATTTGGTACAGGATCTTGCTATGCAGCTCAGATTCCTTAGACTCATATCACAGGTGCATGCCACCATGCCTGGTTTCTGTGGACGCCTGGGGTTTTGAGGCCTGCACAACACATGGTACTGAGGATTACCTGGGTCCTTGTGCTTGCCAGGCAGGAGCTTAGACTGCCAACTAGCTTCCCAGATCCTCCCCCCCCTTTTTCTTTTTTTTGCAGAACCGGGATTTGAACTAATGCCTTTGCCCTTGCCAGGCAAACACTTATTCTATGAGCCATCTTCCCAGCCCCCTGCCCCCCCCCCTTTTTTTAAAATTTATTTGTGTGTGGGGGGCAGCTCAGCCCACCAGGGGGCGGGGCTGGCTGGCATGTGGTGCTGGGGGATTGAACCGTGGTCCCTGTGCTTTAGTTAAGCTTGTTCTAAGCAGGTGCTTTAGACCACTGAGCCATCTCACCAGCCCCCCCCCCCCCCCTTTTGAAACAGGGTTTCACTATGCAGTTCAGGCTGGTCTCTCCTGCCTCAGTCCCCTGCATGCTGGATTACAGGTGTGTGCCATCATACCTCGCCCAAGGGGTTCCCTTTTCATACTGGCATAGTGGCACATGCCTGTAATCTTATCACTTAAAGAGGATAAAGAATCCAAAGACAGCCTATAGCTACCATGCAAGTTCAAAGTTGATAGGCACAAGAAAACAAAACCCTTCTGGGCAAACAACAAAGTTCTGATTGAATCTTAAGATTCAACACTCTCTCCACCCCTACATACAGCTGGGAATGTAGCTCAGTGCTCCCTGGGTTCAGTGACTATCTTTCTAGTCCTGTTTTTTTTTTTGGCAGTACCAGGGATGAAACTAAGGACCTTGCACTTATCTTAATGCTAGTCTTAAATAGTCTCAGGATTTGTAACTTGACCAAAAAACAAAAAAGGTGGGAGATTTTAAAAATTAAGAGGTAAGGGGTGCCAGAGAGATAACTCAGTAGAATAAGGGCTTGCCTGGCAAGCGCAGAGTCCTGAGTTCAATCCCCGGTACCGCAAAAAAAAAAAAAAAAAAAAAGAGGTAAGGATTATACACATTAAGTCTAATAAAAACACTTGGAAGAATGAAGTACTAGGGCTGGTAAGATGACTCAGTGGTCTAAAGCACCTACTTAGAACAAGCTTAGCAAAGCACAGAGACCGCAGTTCAATCCCCCAGCACCACATGCCAGCCAGCCCTGCCCCCCGCCCCCCCGCCGTGGGCTGAGCTGGCCCCCCCCACAAAATAAATAAAAAATTTAAAAAAAAATTTAAAAAAAGAATGAAGTATTACTAAATAATCCAAAAATGGGAAAAACTTTGACCATGTGTTGTAGAGCTCTGGGGAAAAGTAGTTTTCTTTTTTAAAAATTTATTTATTTATTTAGTGTGGCCAGTTCAGCCCACGGGGGGTAGGGCTGGCTGGCATGTGGTGCTGGGGATTGAACCACGGTCCCTGTGCTTTTGCTTAGCTTAGCTTGTTTTAAGTAGGTGCTTTAGACCACTGAGCCATCTCACCAGCCCAGGAAAGTTTTCAATGTAGTTATTTATAGCTGGGCATATCCTAGCCTTTCAAGGTCAGTGAAGACTCAGGACATTGGAGAACCTGTACTGTAACATCATGTAACTCCATTGTGCCCCAAATTTTCTCCATTGTGCTCAAGGAGATTATGGAGCCTCAGAGGAATGTGACTGATGATGCATAGTGTGCCTAAGGAAAAACTTTCTCTCAGGTTTTCAGAGCAAAATGGTCAAGCAATGGCGGTGACTCATCCATATGGTTGACACTGACAAAGGATCTACAAAGCGCGGTACAGACTTACAGGATAAATCCTGAGGGTACTTGACTGATCAGACACAAAAGTTACACTTCTTGTTATATAGGTCTTGCTTTATCTTGGTCTTAACCATCCAGCAGAAAAGTATAAAAACGAGGTATATAAAGTAAAGCCATATTAATATGCTGAGCTGTGAAAGGCTCAAGTCAACAACTTCTGCAGATAACCCACTACTATTGTGGACTGCTGGACTGTGTTGGATTGTTTTGCTGAATTCACGCACCTTTCGTATTTAGATGCCAATGGAATACCCATCTATGATAGGACTAAAAAAAAGGGGATACAAAGGAAGGACCATTTTGTAGTTGTATATACAGAATAGTTAGGATAGATATAGTTACTTTCACTTAATTCAATGAGAAGAAAGATTTGTACTAGTAGTGTTTGGGCAGGATATCCTGTCTGCTTTTTGTACAATGGATAACCACTAAGAAGATAACAATGTACAATGTATTAATTATTGAAACTGTCCTATTAATCAGCTTTGAAACTATCTCAGATATTTCTCAATAAAGACAAAACAAAACAAGGGGCCGGGGAGATGGCTCAGTAGGACAAGCGCTTGACTGGCAAATGCAAGGATCTGAGTTCAATCCCCGGTTTTGCCAAAAACAACCAACCAACCAACCAACCAACCTGCACCACATTGTTTCTCTGGTATGAGAAACTGAAAGTGTAAGTAACCAAAATGTGTAATAAATTGCTATGGTTTATGTGTAGACATCCATTCCCCGCTCCCCAAAACTTCATGCAGTCATGAGGTTTCTGGAGTTTGTGATTGATTCGTGGTTGGAGGCTGCAACTATGGGTATGAGTACTATACCTGCCTGCATGCGACACAAAGGAGGAGTCTCTTTCTGCTCTTTCCCCTCTATTTTTTGTCTTTTTCAGAAGTAACACTATCTAGCTCAGGCTGGCCTTGAGCTCACTTTGTATCCCAGGTCTCAAACTCACAGCAGTCCTCTTGCCTCAGTCTCCTGAGTGCTGGGATTACAGGCGTGAGCTACTTAGCTTCCTCTCCCTTTAAAAAAAAAGAAAAGAAAAAGAAATATATAGCTGGACATGGTGGCACATACTTATAATCCCAGTACTTGGGAGGCTGAAGCAGGAGGATTGTCACAAGTCAACGCCAGCCTGATCTATATTACACAGTGAGATATTCTCCCATAATACATGTAGTTATTATTTTTCTACTGTATTACAAATAAAGAGACAATCTCATTTTCAAAGAAATTAACTTTTATTTGAAAGGAGACTACTTTCCCCCCCGACATGTATGGTTTAAAGACTAATACTATATAACAGCTTGCTTAACCAATATGCCAATACCATTAACAGCAAATTATACAATTGATCTAGGTAATAAATAAGGGATGTCCTTCACTGATTAAGGGAATACTTAAAACTTCAATAATTATAACACAAAAATCACACTTTAAGTTTGTAAAGTTTAACAGATATATTTAAAATACAATGTTTTGAAGGTGTCCACAAGTTTTTTATCTCTAAAACTTGACTAATTTTTAAGGTTCAAAATTACATTCTTCAAAAGAAATGTCCAAGCATTTTCTTCTAAACTTCAAACTTTCTACTAGACTCAACTATGTGACTGTTCCATGCCACCCCAGACAAACCTGACATGTCTGAACTACTTTGTGTTACTACCTCCCCCAAAACAAAGTTAAAAACAAAACAAAAACAAGTCTGTCATAAATGCAGAATTTTTTTATTATTTTTTTTTATTTGGGATCAAACTCAGGGCCTTGTACTTGCCAGGCAGAAACTGTGGCGCCGAGCTCTATATCCAGCCCCAAATGTAGATCTCTAGTATAGTACCTAATACAATATATGATACAAAGATTTCCCTCATATGATTAGCTAGAAGGCAATCCTCCCTAAAGGTAAGGAAAAAAAATCATTTACAAAGCGTAACACTGGATTTTTTTTTTTTTTTTACTGGGTTTAACTAATCAAGATGACAATTACATCAGTAAGTATATAATAATAGGGGGTGGAAACAGCAACATAACTGACAATGTATATGCTGAAAAAACAAACTTTTTTAAGGAGTAGGAAGGATGAGAAGCTTGGGAAATCAGAATTTTTAAAAAGAGAGAGAGAGAGAGAGAGAGAGAGAGAGAGAGAGAGAGAGAGAGAGAAAAGGAAATTAGGGGGTAAAAAGTCCTTAACTGCAACCATTTCATTATCAATAGCGTCCTGAAAGAGAAAGCAACAAAAAGTTAAAATGAGTATTATTTAGGCTGCCCAATTTCTTTTCCAACTATCAACATAAGACACAACAAATATTCTAAATGTCATTATCCAGTGGAATAATGACAGTCATTTAGAAAGTTTTTTTTTTCTTTTTGCGGAACCGGGGATTGAACTCAAGCCCTTGCGCTTGCCAGGGAAGCACTTATTCCACTGAGCCGTCTCCCCGCCCCCTAGAAAGGTTTTAAAGGCTGCAAGCTCACGTACTTGGGCTGTAAGAACGAGATCTTGACCGCGATCTGTATCGGCTATAGTAAGGAGAAGGTGATCTTCTTCTGTAAAAAATGAAAAATGACTTAGCATAGCACATAATCACATGAAAATAAAATTTCCTCATTACTCAGAAGAATCATGTATGCACCCAAGAAAAATCACTAAAAGTTCAGTGTTCCAATGGTACTGTAACAGTAAGCATATGACACAACTAAATATAGACAAATGCAGATGAACTTCTGTTCAAGCGTCATACGGAACTCATATATGTAGCCCAGGATAGTTTTGAACTTGTGGTGATCCTTCTGCCTTAGTCTCCCAAGTGAGATGTGTGCCACTATACCTGGAAATTTTTTTTACTCTTCATTTTTTTTGGAAACAGGATCTCACTATGTAGCCTAGGCTGGCCTCAAAGTGGCAGGAATCCTCCTGCCTCAGCCTCCTTTGTGCTGGGATTATAGGTGTGTGCCATGCCTGGCTATCAAGTTTTTTTTGTTTTTGTTTTTGTTTTTTTAAAGGATGAAGTCTCAAGGGCAGGCCAAATAGCTCAGTGGATTAAAGCACTGTAGGTGATGGAGATTCAATCTTCAAGCCTGCCCTGATGGCCCTGCCCCCAGGACACACAGAGACAGCAATTGAGACTGGCATGGTGGCATGCACCTGTAATCTCAGGTTTTGGGAGGTTTAAACAGGCGGATCACTACAAGTCCGATCTAGTAGTGAAATCCTGAACACCTTGTAGACCCTTCCCTAAAATATATAAAAATAAATAAATAATGAAGTCTCATTATGCTGCTTTAGGTTGGTCTTCAACTTTTGGGCTCAAGTGATCCTCCCAATAGCTACTAACCAGCCATCCCACCTGTTTCAATTATTTTTATGAATCAAACACAAAAGTGAAACAAGGGGATGGGTAGATGGCTCAAAAGAATAAGTGCTTGCCTGGCAAGCACGAGGGCCTGAGTTCAATCCCCAGTTCTTGGGGGAAAAAAAAAAAAAAAAAAAAGGGAAAAACAAAAAACTATTGAGTTCGAGATTAAATAATCATATGTAGTCTCTTGAAATAGCTTGATTCCTTAAAAAAAAAAAAAAACCAAAAAACCAAAAAACCAAGGGCTGGGGAGATGGCTCAGTGGAATAAGCGCTTCCAAGGGCCTGAGTTCAATCCCCGGTTCCGTAAAAAATAAAGGGGCGCGGGGGG